TGCTTTAAACTTCTGCTTGTTCACAAAATTAATTGGTCCTAAGTATGCTTCTGATCTCTTAAGCTTTTTTTTTATTTGGGCCATTTGAATCCTAATGGCTTGAAGTTACACGTTCAGTTGAATTAATGGTCTTTTATTTATAAGAAAGCTTATCATTAATAATTCTTTTATGATCTTGAGATCATGTGACAAGAGTTAAATTTTAATATTATGTTTTAAACAATCAACTGTCTAGTATTTACTTTCCTAGTCCCTAAACTTCCAATAATATTTGATCAAAAAAAATTTTCCAATAATATTACTCAAAATGAACTATAATTGTCAACTAAACTTCCAATAATATTACTCAAAATGAACTATAATTGTCAACTAAGTTGTGAAGTGAAGATCAAGGCATGATAAGTTTAACCAAAAAGGGGAAAAAAGAAAACAGAGGCATGCGAATGAGCGTAGAAGGATCTACAGGTGTTTGGTGGGAGTGATATGGAGAACAAGTAGGCACTGAACGGTCTAATCGTCAATTTTCCAATGCAGTCAATAATAGTGATTACTTAAAGGGCAAGGCATTCTTTAGTCATGTTGTGGGCCCCACAATTTGGTGGGTCGGTACCGACGGGCCCAAGGCCCAACTCAAGAGGCTCCCCCCAACTCATAAATATTAACTTCAATTGCCTGCCTAACACAATTTAATATTCACTATGTTTAATACCTAAAACCTTTATGATAACATTAAAAAGAAAAGAAAAGATGAAAATGTGACGGGATAAAAAAGAGAGAGGATATTGTTAAATAATGGTAATTCGAATAGTATATTAAGCAAACAATTATATTATTTTGCACTTAGTTGTCCGTTTCCTTTTCTATGCTCAAAATCCTACAGTGGGAAATCATGTTGGTGACATTGCAACATATTGAGAAGCCTTGTGCGACTCCACAAATGTGAATAATGGCATATCATTGGCTCTTATTGGAACAAAATATAACTCATATGCCACTTTTTCTATGTCTCTATTTCACTCAGTATCAGAAAAAGGTTTATGGTATTTCAGTGGCAGCACTGAAATTTTATATGATGAGGCAGCAGGATCATGGTCTTAAAGCAGTTCAAGTGGCATTTTGTTATTAATTTCTAAAAAGGATTGCCCACCATAACTTTTTAGTTGTTGGAAGAAGGTGAGTCTGACCACGAAGATGAGAACTCATTAATACTGCCTCTACTATTTAGTTGATTTAGATAGATTGATGAATTCCGATAAATTATTCAATTAATTAATGTAACATGATCTTTTTAAAATTCATACATGATATTAAATTATATATATTTATGAGTTAGATAAATTAGTTTGAAAATAATAATAAAAATAAATATAAGAGACCAGATAAACTAAGATCTTATATCTCAGATCAAATAGCTCATATGGTAAAGACGAAGGGATATGTACGTACATATATAATGATTCATTGTGAAGTAGAGTTGAGCAATAATTGTTAATTCCCTTTATCTGACTTGGAAGCATTATTAAGAAAAAAGAAGAATTGAAAAATTGGTGGGGAAGGAAGCCTAAGCGTGGGCTTGGAAATAGTTATGATGGAAAATATAAGCAATAATAAATGAAATATAGACTTGGACGTCTCAACCATTGTAACCTTCTCCAGACAGATTTTCCTCTATAAATTGCCTCTGCTTTCTTCCCTGGCAAACTGAGCCTACTTGAAGCTCCATTATCCTTCACCTTGCGGTTCATTGATAGGCCAACACAAAGAAAGAAAGGCCATCAAGCAACGTAGAGTTCTTCTGTCGAGGTAGTGATTCTCTCTAGCCTTGTTCATGCTAATTAAATCTGTAGGTCTGGGGAGAACATGTCGATGTTGGGACGGCTCAATCAAATCAAATCTCTCAAGAGTTGGGTCCTTTAATTTGATTGAGCCGTGCCAATATCGAGCTACGGCTTTCATTCTCTCTTTTTCCAACAAAAATTTTCATCACCCAGTATCGTCGAATTAATTCCTTTATAAGTTGTACTTGGGTACAGTGATCGAATTAACTTATTTTAAGTGATTGTATGTTGTACGATGTAACTGTGTGAGAGGAAATTTTGTCTCACACAACATAAAATAACTTATTTTATATAATTATGATATGATAGTTTCCAAATAAATATGGCTGTATTGATATTAAAACAATCTCAAGGGTTATTAATTTCTTCATTGAATATAAATTAAAAGATATTCCCCCATCCTTTTTGATAAGGCCTAATCATCTACTTTATAATGAAATTAAGAAAATTAGTGAATTAGTTAATTGTAAAAAAATTTACGAATTTCCAAAGTCACCTTTTAATTTGTATAGTTCATTACGGGAAAGAGGGAAATAGAAAAGTTATTATTTAAGCTAAAAGTGAAAAAGACAAGTATTTTTCAAATGAGTCACAAATATTTTGTTATTTTTTTTTAAAAAAATTATATTAAGAACCCATAGTTAGGATCTTATAAATTTGACTAGAGCGAGCACAGCATTTGTTATGTTTTAGTTATATTTTTCTGACAGTAATTATCTCTTTTTTCAATCAAGAGATAATAGCTATTTATCATTACAATAGAGTTTATTGAAATTAATAAAGTCTATTACTCGTTATTATTATTGTTGTTTTGAGATTATACTTGAAGAATGATGTTTCATTGGTATCCATATGAGATTAATATGACACAACCTTGCCAAATCATTCGACAAATAGTGATCGAAAAGTTGGTGGGGAACAGGTTATGCAGATAGGGTTTTTTTTTTTTTTGAGTAAAAGATAGAGTTTTGATTTTATCATAGGGGACGAGCCTTTCTTCTAGCTAGGCGATATTCTTATGGAATTAATAATAAAAAATTCCTTTAATAATATAACTAAAAGTATTGTATCACTGTATAGAAATGCTTTCTTATAGTAATATTTTAATGTTCAATCATGGTGCATTCATTTTATTATTGTCGTTGCGTGCACACCTCTGTATTCAACTATTCATGATTCAAGTCTTGTTCCTAAGTTTGGGTGCGTGGTGACGCAGCAAAATTTTGGAATTCTGAAATTGAATTAAATTCTTATCTGTCAAAAATATAAGCATTATTGTTAATATATCTTCAACATTTATAATGAAAACCTATTCATTATACAAATCATTGCTAAGACTCTATACATATAAGATCTGTTTGATTACTATACTATTTCATTATAACAGCATATTTTTTTTAATTCCAATTTTATTTCGTTATAACAGCATTATTGTTAATACTTCATTATATAAATATATATATTGTTAGCTATAGGTTTAATTTTTTTTGTTAGTATCCTCTTTAATCATGGATTTTGTATAATGAATGGGTGAGCCTCATCTAGCTCTTATTATAACTATACATACATATATATATATATGTATAATATAAACCAGTTATATTATACTCTTCCAATCCTTAATATAGAACCCAATTCTTGAGTTGGTTTTGGTCCTAAATATAAGGCCCATTTCTCATATTTATCAATTTTCTCTAAATTACCCCTATAGATACTCCCTCAACCATAATCAAATAGAAGAGGGAGAGGGGGTATTAAAAAAGATGATTATGGTATTTTAGGAAAAATGTGTCACTTTTCTTATAATTAACTAACTTACCTAACTTTCTTAATCCAATCAAATTAGTTAAATGGGTCTTATATCAAGGACCGGAGGAGTAATAAACAATACGATTCATTTGCGTAAAGCACTTGCGACAAAGCTATACGTATGTATCCGATATTTCTACCCCTATGAGAAATAAAAATGAACATTATATTGTCTTTTATTTTCATGCAAATAAATGGCACAAATGGATGAAGACTAAGGCGGAACAAGATTAAAATATCGTAAATATATGGATGCCATTAGTTGATAATTAACATTTATGTACGGATAAAGAGTCTCTCCACTTTTCTTCTTCTTTATTTCCATCCACTTCCCATCTCAACTATGAAGATTAAAGGTTTAACGCACAGTCCAGATTTTATGCTTTTGAAAATAATTTTACAAAGTATTTTTTATTATTGTTTTAACTTATACCGACTAAAATTTAGTAGTTTTATTTTATTTCATTTATTTATTTTTTAAAATTTTAATATTTTATTTATAATTTTATAAATATGAAATTTGAACCGTTAAAATCTCAATCTTATGACTGAATCTTATAACTGGGATAATAAGTAGACGAAAACAAAGTAAAAAGGACGTGGAGACACCTTTGCCCATTTATGGATGCCCCTATTTGAGTGAATTATCCAAAATCAAGTCCACATGGATATATTCAGAGGAGAATCACTGGTAATATAATATAGCTAAATGTGTTCACGGAGGAGGAAGATAGGAGAGAGCCAAATAGACAGCACTGGAAGCATGAACAGGGCAATGAGGAGGGGCCTGTTCTTCGCACTCATGGGATTTCACAAAGCTTGAAGAAGATGAAGAACAGCGTCCGATCTCTCCTTTGCAGAATATTCCGGCAACCGGAACACTTGGGAAGTTGGCATGAAATGGGTAGATATCAGTATTAGATGTTCCAAAGTAAGATTGGCCTCGAGAAGCACAAGCAAATATTAACCCACCAAAAACAGTTTCTTCACTTCCCATGAAACTCTGCTTCAGCCTTGTCAGATTCTCAGATGCAATTTCACTTGTGGTTCGTGCAGTTTCCAGATCTCTGTGGTAGAACAGAAACGTGTCTCCTGCTCTCACCCCTACTCCTTCCACCACAAAGTACTCTCCCTCTCCCCTGTTTCATTCAACAACAACAAATCAGTCACTCGCTCTTATCACAATTCCTTCTGAATCATTATTATCTTACCCAAGAACTTGATGGAACGAGGTGGATTCTGATACTTTCTTGATCAGTCTTCCATTGCCTGAGTAATACCTTCTTCCATGTGACACGCCTATGTACAAATCAGGACGCCTGTCACTCACCTTCACCACATGACACTCTTTGATCACTTTAAGATCATATATAAGAAGAAGAAGAAGAGTGGGGTGGTATGAGTATTTGAACATATATATACCGTTTCAAGGAGGGTTTCTATGACGGCCTCAAAAGTCAATATCGTATTGAATCCTTCCATGAGAGCAGAGAAGCAAGTCCATTTGATGTCACCTTTGACGAGTACATCGATCACCTCAAACCTTGGCCCAAATGGCACTAAACCCCCTGCCATTGCCACATGAAACCTAGTCTCTCCTACGTCTGTTGAAGTAAAAACCAGATTGGTGAAAAACAGATAAACTCAAAAGAGTTACATAGAAATAATGGAATCAAAGTGTTACCAGGAGACTTGTGACTGTCTTTGGCGAATACGAGGGCGATGGCATCGAGTGCGTATAAATCAGGAGGAAGATTAATTGTGTAATTCTGACTGTTGAACAGAAAGCAGCCTCCACCATCCCCAGCCATCACTGTTTCTTTTCCTATTGCTTGATCTGCCACGTAATATTTATACTTGAATTGTTCAGCAAAATCAGAATATACATCATATTACCAGATTCCTCCCAGCATGCAGGTGACTCACCCATTGTTGCCATAATGTCGTTAATGTCACTTTTACGATCCTATGTAACAGGAAAAATAGCAAAATGCAATATATTCATGTCATTTTTTTAATCAGTAACTCCAAAAGAAGCTAATCATGGGGTGAAAAAAAAATGATCTCACTCCAAATATTATGATAGCAGCAGGTGGGTGATTTCCAAAGACAGAGTAAGCAAAGGCCTTGATGTGTCTCACGAACTCATCAACCATGCTGATTCCAGGATCCTGATCATACGTCACAAATTTCTCACTCACTTTCATATTAAATAGTCAGGTTTATTTATAAAAATTGCATGAGAGCTAAACAAACAATGAATCTAACTTACATTCTTTGGGTGAATCAACGGTATTGCATCCACTTTGAGACCAGGAACATATCCAACCACCAAAACCATGCCTCGATTAACATCACTAAATCCATTAGCCTCGCGAGGATGAGGGCCTTCGTAATCAAAGTAATCCCATTTCACCTGCAGTTTCTCCGAAAATATACTCTGAATTAGACATCTGTCAAAAAGAAAGCTGAATAAAGAACATGACACAGAATAGAAAAAAGCTTTAATTACTTCTCGAAGTTGATTTGTGAGAGCTTCCGTTCCCATCACTCCATTCCCAATGTGAGTGACTAAAGGAGTCTTGCTTCCCAGCCTTTGACTCAACTGTGCTCACAAAGTTAAGTCACTAGTAACTCCGTAAATTATGCAAAAATCGAAACAGAAATGAGATATTAGAAGTATAATACAAGAAGGTGAGCGGCTCTTAAGCCGAATTGTTCACTGATGCAAGCTATGGCAAAGTGTGGACGAATTGGCTTGCTCAGAACCTTCTCAGTGACCTCTTCAACAGCCCCCTGCAAATCAATGTCAAAAGAGGAGATCGTAAATAAGGTAAAGTGAACAGAAGGGTAAGTAGGAGTAGCAGAAGAACTTACAAGAAGAGAAGGATTCAATGAAAGGGCTGAAGCAAGCATGGGACGTGAGAGGAAATGAGAGCAGATTCGATGCCAAGTTTTGCTGACACAAGCGGCATTTGCGAAGGTTGAGGCTGGTAGTCTGTCCAGAATGTTGTGAAGAATGTCCTCTTTGCACCCATAGATCGGGGCTGCTTCCCTGCTCTCCATGTCTCAGCTCCCACACTGGTAGTTTCATGAAAAGCAATATGTGTTTATATGGATGATAGGTGGATAGAGTTGGTAATATGGGTTGAATCCACGGGTTCAATCCGCAAAAAATAACGGGTTAGCCAACCCGTATCGTCAGGCCTGCAACTCGCTACTGGTTAGCCCGCCAACCCGCAGGCTAACCCGTATATTTTTTTTTTGTTTTTAAAATTTTTAAAAATTATTATAATTGTATTATTATATATGATATTATATCTATAAAAAATAAAAAAAATACCTATATAATTTATTTGGTATTTCCAATCAAATATTTCAAGAAAAAAATAAAAATATCATTATATTTTTTTAAATATTGAATAAAAAATAATATTAAAAGATTAAAAAATTAAAAAAAAAAAAATTGTTGACAGACCAACCCACCAACCTACCTTGATGGGTTAGGATTAGCTTCGTCTTCAAACGATGCTTTTCAACTCGACCCATATGGGTTGAACCCGCCACGGGTCAACCTGCAACTCGCGAGTTGACCCGTATTACCACTCCTAGATGATTATAGCTTCAAGGGCACTGACGTCAGCGTTCGGCGGGGCATATTTTTGTTTAATTTGCTCATAAAGACTTGAGATTCTAACGCTTCCTCACTTATAGTTAGCTATAAATGAGATTTAAGAAGCTCCACCATTTCAGATTTCCCTATCGATTCTCCATTTAATGTTTTGGATGCTTTGTTTCTTTCCTCAGGTGTATTTCAAATCCTATCTATCCTTTTTTTTCCCCTGGGGTCAGGTCCAATGCATTTAATTCCACCGTATTCCCTTCGCTAGGCAGACCAGTCACCTGCCTTCTAGAAGAATTCTTTGGTTTGTACCCCATAATGCAACTCGCTTAAAAGACTAATCAATAGCTATTTATTATTAAGTGTGACTTGTAGTATTTTTCTCTCCTTCAAAATCCATTAATAAGAATAAAAGTGAAATTTTCTTAAATTTAAAACATATTCAATGAATCAATTTCTCTAATTCTCGGTTTTGTTAAAATAGTTAAAAATGACTTTTTTTTTGTTTTGATAAAAATAGTAAGTCAGATTGTTTGCGTTAGCTTTAGACATACTCCCTCTCCTGTCCTTAATAGGAGAAATTATTAACTCATAAGTTATCTCAAGAATTATTTATGATATTTTTCAATTTTATCCATATTTATTTATTTATGACTACATGAGTAAAGTTGAAAAAAATAATTTAAAAAAGAGATTTAATAAGTTAATTGTGCTCTTTCTTAATTCTGGTGAGATGCTTGAAAGCGATACATTTTGAATCGAATGGGGTAAATATCAAATCAATTTTTTTGGCACACAATTAAATAACTCTTTAACCCCCCTTGGCACACGCGATGATTTGATGTATTAAGCTCTTTTTATAAATCGCGAGTATGCTAAAATCATCATAAAGGGAAATAGTCAGGGTCACGTTATTGAAGGTTAAGAAAAAAAATGGTTGGCGTTATATTATAAAGAAAATGCGAACAATGGGCATGTGGAAAATCAAGAGCAAGTAATGTACAGATTTCAATAGTTTTAATAAGTATTCATTCAATTTAGATATAGAATCAGTTAATGACTATGGATATGAGTTATTGAGTTTGTGTACTTATTTTTATTACCATAATAGTAATAATTAATCTTTGTCGCATGAACATTCATGATGAAATCAGATTGAAGTGGGTTTTCCATGAATTAGCTTAGGAATCTGCTCTGATGACTCTCAAATCTGGTCCAAAGGAAAAAAAAAAAGTTCAAAACTAGCCAAATTAATCATAAACCAACATGACAGCTAAAAACCAGCGAGCCAATTTAACACTAAATCAATGAATAACAAAAAATTTATTTTTTATTTTTTTATATAAAAAGTATCTAATTCTAACAATTAAATTATATTTAAGTATTATCAAATTTTGAATAGAATTTGAATATAGTTATCCTAACATAATTTTTTCATACATAATATTTGAATGTAAGATATTTCAATTTTCATGAGAGACCTTGAATTTATTCCACTCGATCCAATTACAATTTATGGATGCCAAAAAAATTCTATTTTACTTTTTCTTTTTGGGGGGGGGGGAACCGAAGCTTCTTTTCTTATTTTCTTATAATTATATTTATCTTGAATGAGATTTTAGTCACTTAGCGATTCAAATTATATTTGAATATCATCTTATAAAAAATAATAGTAAATAAACTAATAACAAAAAATCAAGTGATCCAATTAAATAAAACAAACCCTCCTTCTTTTACATACATAATACAGTGAATATTAGTTTTCTTGGACGGGATCAGAATATACATATATTAAAATATAAAAAAATATGTTATACTAAATACAAAGAAAAAAATTGAGGGGCTGAATTTAACAAAATACTCTATTTAAATTTTTAAATATATTATACCAAATACTAAGCAATAATACAAAAGTATTAAATCAAATTACACATTGCTGCAAAACTCATTTAGTCATTTATATAAATCTTACATTGTTATTATTTTGATTTTTTATACAAATAATCATTTTTATTTTATATAAGAACATAAAAATATTTAAGTAAAAACACTCTATCATAACTCTATTTATACAAGTCAAAATTTTAAATTATAATATGCACAACAACAAAATGGTTTGCTTATATCAAAAAAGGAGAAAAAAAATCATTTGAAGATTCATGGATTATACCAATATCAATAAAATAAGTAGAATTAGCTTTTCTTTTTAATACAACCCTTTTCAACTTCCTCTCTTTTTTTTCTAAGCTATTATTGCTAGTTCTTTGTTTATCAGCTAGGCATCGCTTCCCAATAAGAGATGTTGAGGGGTATAAATAGGACTAGTTCCTTTAATTTTTTTATGGAGCCAGATCTTGCAGTTTTGGGCTACATTTATTTCTCATATCCCAAGCACAATACTTTCCTTTTGTATTATCTTACTTTCGAAAAATTCTGACCTACCCACCCCCAAGAACAGACCCATATACGCAATTTTCAGGTTAGAAACCCAATTTTGGAAATGGGTGAGGTGAGACACTATTGAGGAGCCACCACCTACGTTTCTATCATCATCCTCTCTCATCTTTCCCACAAAACCCTAATCCTCCATCTCCATCTTTCTCCCTTTCCATTTTCCCTGCACTTCTTCTTCATCCACCTTCATTTCCTTCATCTCCTAACCATTATAGCTGAAGATTTAACTCTGGTTGGAGCTGATTCCAAGACTATGATGAGCTAGGTCTTTCCAACTCTTGAAGATGGTGGAGTAGCATGAGTTTCCAAGCTTCAAAGGGGAGTTTTAGTTTTAATCTTTAGTTTTTAGCTAGGCATTTATGATTTCCTAGGTTTAGGAGTTGTAAAGTCTTAGTTAGATGCTTTGATTAATTCTGTAATCATTGGTTAATGATTAACATTTGTAATTTGGATTGATTGATGTTGAATTTTATGCTTAAATATATGTAGTTGCATATATGCTTCTTGTAACTCTCATGATTCTCTCCTGTCTTGCATGGTTATGTTTGATACTGAGTTGATTGTGTGTTACATTGGGCCTATTGCATGATCATTCCAAAGTTACACATTAGGGGAACTTAACAATGCTTTCATTAATGAGTTCATTAATGTAAGCATTGGACTCAATGAGTTATTGAGGTTTTTATTTAAGAAAACCTAATGGATTTGTGAAACTCCTAGTATTTTAAGTGAACTATGATTGCCAACAAAACCATTTTCAAGAGATTTCCTATCAATCACTTCCATTACATCATTATTATCTTAAAAACTCTAAAAACATAGTATCTTAGGTTTGTTTTCATTGCATTCAATTTTGACACATTTCATTAAATGTTAAAAATCCAAAAACCCCTTTGCATTACTTTGCATGGCATTTAGTCTAACTTAGGTAATTAATTAAGACTCCCAAGCATGAAACGACCCGAGTTTGCATTATACTGCATAGCTTGGATTTATTTTTGAGTGAGAACCCCAAAGCGAACGACGAAAGGCTCTCTTCAAGTTGTCCAACAATATGAGTGAGCAACAAGCAAGGAGCAGTGGCGCAATCCCCTCCAACACTGTTATCAATCCTAAGGGCTTGAATGCTATTACCCTTAGGAGTGGGAAGCAAGTGAAATTTAGAGAAGAGGAGGATGAAGTTATAGATGAGGAGATCTTGTGTGATGAGCTGTCACAAGCACCTTCAAAAGAGAAGAAGCCTGAAAGCTCCAAGGAGAAGAGGCTAAAGCTGAAAGAAGCCTCAAAAGAACATGATGGCAAGGGGACAACTGTGGAATCTAAGCCAAGCAATCATAGAGCCTCAAGCAAGGAAGGTAAGGAGGTAAACATCAATGAACTACCTTTCCCTAATGCTTATTTGAAAAATGTGAAAATGGGTAAGGAGAGGCAAGATCATGAGTTGCTTGAGACATTTAGGAACGTAGAAGTGAATATACCCTTGCTTGACCTGATTAAAAAGATTCCTAAGTATGCTAAGGTCTTAAAAGAATTATGTACTCAAAAGAGGAGATTTAAACCTAATGAAAGAGTCCAATTACCCTCTAATGTGTCTGCTTTGTTTAAACCCCAAATTCCTGTAAAGTGTCAAGACCCTGGATCTTTCACTATCCCTTGCACTATAGGAAAGGTTACTATAGGGGGAGCCCTGTTAGATCTAGGTGCAGCCATTAATGTCATGCCTAAGTCCGTATACACATCTCTAGGAGTCAAGACTCTTAAGTCTACCACTGTTGTGCTCCAACTAGCTGATAGGACTATTAGGTATCCTGAGGGCATTATTGAAGACATTTTAGTCCAAGTTAAGGGATTGGTGTTTCCTGCTAATTTTTATGTGCTTGACATGTCTTCTGAACGTGTGAATGATACTATACTCATCCTTGGTCAACCTTTCTTAAGGACTGCTAATACCATGATTAGCATGAAAGAGGGCACCATAATTATGGAGGTG